GAGCCGTACTGTGTCATTGGTACTAGTTTTTTTTTTTTTTAACGCGATGTGGTTACAGACGCCAGCGGTGGCGGTGGTGGCGGAAAACTACGGCGCAATGCGAGACCCGACATGTGATCTCATAACAGCTTTTTCTGTAAAATGTGAGCTTAAAGCATGCACTATACCATGCTACCCAGTGGCGTGTGCTTGGGGACGTATCACAATACTTTAGTGCAGCCGTGCTTATAAAAAATTTGTCTTAAAGATTTATGATAGAAAGGCTACAAGAAGACATATACAGCCACAAGAAGACATATACAGGAACCCAAACAAGGTACCGAACTCATCAACATAGGCTCAGCGCCTTAGAGTGCTCCACACTGCAATACATCGATTGATTTGTGGGGTTTAACGTGCGAAAACCACCATATATGATTATGAGAGACGCCGTAGTGGAGGGCTCCGAAAATTTCGACCACCTAGGGTTTTCTAAACTGCACCCAAACCGGAGCACACGAGCCTAGAACATTTCTGCCTCCATCAGAAATCCAGCCGCTGCAGCCGAGATTCGATCCCGTGACCTGCGGGTCAGCCGCCGAGTACCTTAGCCACTTGACCACCGCGGTGGGGTCTGGCACAGGTGAGCACTTGTATTGCAGGATGAACTAAAAAAACGCCGGGCTTGCAAGGAAGGTGCAGCACAGTTTTTAAACACGCCTTGGGTAACTGCTGCAAGCACACTTGCTTGATACACACGAAGGAATTATTAATAAAAATTTCAGGGTAGTAGGCCAGCATTGGCTCAGCTATTTTTCGTCCTTCTTTTGAGAGGCATGGTATCCGCTAAACTATTGTGAGGAATTTTGTGCTGATTGTTCATGCAGTGGCTGACGGGGATGAGGAATAATGCCTAAAAATGGGTATGCGCCACTGGTAATAGCTAAACAAGAACAAGCTTTTGTAATATGTTGGGGCGTTGGATGACCCACTCGTTACGTTATTCGCATTGTGAGACGACTGCTTGTTCTTTCGCTGTTTTAAAACACTTTATGAGTCGCATTACCGCAATTGCTTTCCTGATATCGAGCCTGCCTAAGGCAAGTTTGCCAACAAGTCCTAAGCAACGGCGTGGCTGAGTGGTAGAATGCTGGGCTGGCACTCAGCAGACCCAGGTTCAAGCCATACTGTGTAATTGGTGCTGTGTTTCTTTTTCTAATTCCCCGTGATGTGGTGACGGACATCGGCGGCAGCGGCGCAAAACTGCGGTGCAATGCGAGACCACAGTTGTCAACTCATAACAGCTTTCGCTGTAAAATGTGAGCTTAAAGCATGCACTACACCATGCTACCTAGTGGCGTGTGGTTGTGACGTAGCACAATGCTTTGTTTCAGCCCTACTATAAAAATTATATGTCTTATATAATTATGATATAAAGGCCACAAGATGGCATATACCGCCACAAGAAGACATATACAGAGACCCAAAGAAGGTACCGAGAACACAACACATCAACTCATCAACATAGGCTCAGCGCATTCGAAAGTTTCACACTGCAATACAACGGTTGTTTAAATGGATTGATTGTTTCTGGGGTGTCACGTGCCAAAACCACGATAATATTGTGACACATGCCGTGGTGAGCGACTCCGGATATGTTTTGATAATCTCGTTAATCTTTATCCGCCTGTCTTATTAGATGGTTGTGTTTCACTATGTTTGTTGGAATTGTCGCTTACAGCACATGCGGTACCTGCTCATTGTCCATCACCCCGCCGCGGTCATCTAGTGGCTAAGGTACTTGGCTGCTGATCCGCAGGTCGCGGGATAAAATCTCGGCTGCGGCGACTGCATTTCCGATGGAAATGGAAATGCTGAAGGCCCGTGTGCTTGGATTAAGGTGCACGTTAAGGAGCCCCAGGTGGTCGAAATTTCCGAAGCCCTGCACTACGGCGTCTCTCATAATCATATGGTGGTTCTTAGAGGTTAAACCCCCAATATCAATAAATGAATTGATTAGGCTCGTTGTTCACCAACTTGTAATTTCCCGTTTTCACGATAGCAAAATGACGCTTACATATCTGTGTTGTGTGATTTAAAAGGAATGTTTCATCCTTGAATACTGAATATCTTCTGCGTCATTTTTTTTAAATCATACGTTGACATAATTTTTCTGATAAATTGTTACAATAGGTATTCCGTACTATATATATCATATTAGATAGTCTCATTGGTGGTTTTGGAACGTTAAACGCCACATATCAATTATATTAGATAGTCAGCGACCGGGCAGTCATAAAGGTAGTAACGGGGCAATAAAGTAAGAAACACCTTCAGTTATTTCATAGTTCATTCCAGTTGCTTACTCTGTACTAACGTACTAGTAAATAGGTAGCAAGAAGTTAGTGACGGTTGCAGATAGTAACTGCTTATTAACATTAGTTGTAAATAGGTAGTAAAAATTTTATTAACGGTACAAGAAAAGTAGTAATCGCTGCAGTTACTACCCGTTTGCTTGCATTTGCTACCTTTTTGCCAACTTTTTTCAAGAATGTACAATAATAGTGGTATTGAAATGCAAGCGTTATATTAACTGCTTTAGAAACATACGACAGTTCTGTACACTCACAGAATTAGAGACAGCAATGCTGGACCAAACGAACTGTAATACTCTTTATTGAGGTTCTTAACTCTGTGGGTGAGTAGGGCCGAATCAGCCGCGGAACTTACTTTTTTCTTCAAGGTAAAGTAAAAGTGACTGCGAACGCTCTGCTAATCAGGAGAGTTCCCAATCTATGCAACTCTCGCTTGATGAGGCGTGAATGGGTTCTGGCACTCCGTCTTTGCTGACAGAGTACAATGTAGCGCCTGAATGTCGCCACCAACGCGGCAAAACAATATAACGGTCTTGTAACCATGCGCCTCATGGTGTATAGTAATAAGGGCTGCAGCGCGAGCACGAGTGTGCTAGAAGAAACAGACGAAAGTCGAGGCACGGAAGGCAAAGAGGACAACACGAGCGCTGTGTTGTCCTCTTTGCCTTCAGTGCCTCGACTTTCGTCTGTTTCTTCTAGCACATTCGTGCTCGCGCTGCAGCCCTTATTACTATGAATTCAAACCAACTAGCCCAAATCGCCATTCTTCTTCAATGGTGTATAGACGCCCAGATGAGATTATTGCGTGAAGTTAGTTGGATGATTTTCAGTCATAAGAAAGCCATGGTTGCATGAGCATGAATGTTTCGTTGCCGAAGGGCCAAAAGCAACACCTTCGAAGCAAGTAACAGCAGCAACTTCTAACGTGACGCCAGAAATCAGTTTACGGCACAGACAAACTGCCACTCGACTGAGATAAAGGCTGGAGACATGAGTAAAAAATTGCCTTAAAAAGAAAAAAAAACTTTATCCAACGATTTAGAACTCGCCACACGTATGAGTGGGCGAGTACTTTATCACTACGCCAAGTCACACGATGTTCACTGCGAAGTAACAAAAGATATACGGTTAAAAAGAAAACACCGTTCCGCTTCGCAGATCGCAGTTTCAACAACGATGCGATTTTTTTTTTCATCAATTAAACCATGCATCTTCATCTGATGGAAACTGCTGCCGTCCACGCATGGCATTCCGCTAAGGCCAAGGCCCCAATTTTATTTCACAACTCACATAGAAATAAAACATATACAAAGAATTACCGAGAAGCTTTAATTCGACATGCTTGCTAGTTAATTCAACACACTTGTGAGTAATTATCTTGGAGCTCAAAGGCACGTACCCGACACCAGCAAACAATTTTTGACAGAGGGCTTCGCGTAACACTCAAGTTGTAGCCCGACTGTTATATTTGCTCTTGAAATAAGAGGGTCTTGAGTTTTTCACTATCTATAAGAATATAATCAAAAGTTTTCATTCTTTAGACACGATAGTATTGACGACGAAAAACCAGTAGCAGTGACCTTAAATCGCATCGATTCCCCCTATTCCTAATTCACTGAACAACAAAAGTGAACAAGCCTACAAAAGGAACACAAGTATACTTGGTGTTCCAGGGTTCATATGGTGCGATTAGCGCATAACAGGCACAGCCGGAATTTATTACCGTTCCGCGAACTCCTACATTAGTTTCAATTATAAGTGGGACATTTTCAGGCAACGCAGCAAGAAGATGAAGAATTCAAAACCACCTTCACTCGCCTACAAAGAAAAGGAGCCTACAGTTATACCTCGAATACAAGCAGGCTCCAGACCGTGAGCCATTTTACAGGGGCGACCGGGAAAGCGCCCTCCTGTTCCAAGCCAGGACGGGGTCACTGCCCACGCGGAAGCGGCATTGGGAACTGTTCGACACGGACCCGTCGTGCCGCCTATGCGGGGCCACGGAAGAAACCATCCAACATATCCTGATGGATTGCCCGCGACTCGGAGCGAGGGACCTACCCAAGATAAACCTGGCGGAATATCTGGGTCTCCCAGATGATCCCGTCGACACCCGAGTCGAACACACCGAGAGTGCCAAGCGACGTCTAAAACTCTGGGACAGACTGTGCTGGCAGGTGGACAAACACCCCGACAGTGTCCAGCGCAACGAAGGGCCGACAGAAAATATCTAAACGACGCCGACGCCACTGGATAGACTTGGCCGAGGGCACGTTTCCCCTGGTGGCGAAACGGGCAATTTACTACCAGACCTTTCTTTCTTCGAACAGTAAAGTGGAAAACGTGTGAGTGCGTGTTCGCGTGAAGTGCGTGTAAAACACAAAATGTTTTTTTTTTTTTTGACGGTGGCGCGGCAAGCGCCTGACTGGTGATGTGTGTGTGCGTGTGTATGGATGTGCGTTGAAGCGCACAACTTTGTCCTGTGGCGCTGCTGGCGCCTGCCCTGTGCCAAAAGGGATTAGGAGCACCTACTTACTTACTTACTTACTTTCTTTGTTACGCGCCGTTCGTGACGTAGAAAAGGCGTGCGTTCCCCTCTCCACTTTCCTTGTCGTCGCGGCCACAACGACCAACAAAGCAGCGCCGCGCGCTGCTCATCCCAGATTGGCAACGCCGGCGGAAATTACACAGAGGCGGCGCGCCGTCGCTGGACGCTCGCCGCGTAAAGCGCGGCCTCGTTGAGAGACACAACATTGGAGCTTCCTTCGGCAAGGCCGACGCTCGCGGCTCGTCCACGCTGACGTGTCGTGCGATAGGTGTTTATATTTTATTTAAGCTAGCCGATACAGCGACGGCTTGACAGCGAGTGGCAACGTCAGGAGTTCAACACGCACGTAGGGATCCACAGAGGTGAGTGCTGACTTCGCGTGTACCGCATTGTGCAATCGGCATTTGAGAACGTCCTTGGAGTTAGCTACTGTTATGGAGCCACTGTGTTTGACGCTACCTGCCGGCGACTGCGACGCAGTTTTTACTCAGGTTTTACGTGTTGCAGTCACGCTATGATTACTATATTAGTCTCTGTTTTTACATTCTACAATCAAGACATCATAATGAGACGTGCCGTCGCGGCCTCAGGGTAAATATGAGGCTCTGCGAAGTAATCTTATGTGTTTATGCTTTATTATTTGGCACGCGGCGGCTGCATTTCCGATGGAGGCGGAAATGTTGTAGGCCCGTGTGCTCAGATTTGGGTGCACGTTAAAGAACCCCAGGTGGTCGAAATTTCCGGAGCACTCCACTACGGCGTCTCTCATAATCATATAGTGGTTTTGGTACGTTAAACCCCACATATAAATCAATCAGTTATTATTTGGCACATAATTCTAAACGTGTGCTTCATCTTACATTCATCTCCCGTCGTCATGCAGCTTTGTGGCAGCCGTCTGAGTCGACTACACCGCGTCTATGCCACAAATACTTGTGAAGTGTTGCCATGAGGACGAATATAAATGATTGATGAAATCGTGTTTTAACGTGACACCATAACTCTTAACATACCTGCTTCACTGCTTTGTAGGAAAGCTTTTCCCGAATACACCTAAGCGATGACGCAATATTGCGAAGTGATATAGAATGCTAAAATTGTTGAGTTCATTTTCGCAGCACAGCTGTTCCAGAGCAAACCTTTTCGATAGAAAAGCACGCTCAAATAACGTTTGCTCATCATCGCAGTCAAAGCCATTTTCAAAAGGTATTGAGTGCAATAAAAAGAAGTAAAAACGTGACACCAGATAAAAAAGAACCACCTGTTTACTGAAAACAGGATATCTTATTTAACAAGCCACTTACAGAAAGCGCTACAGCATGCGTCCATGACCCAGAGTTAGCGTGAAACTTGATCGGGAGCTCATCTCGCAATCCGCATAAGAGGAAAGAGGTGAGGTGAAACAACTTTATTCGGTCCACAATAGACGCGAGTAAACTCAGCGTCACCTGGCTAGGCCCACTCGGGGACCGTTAGGTTAAACCTGACGGCCCTCGCGCGGGCCCTCTGGACGGCCAGGATTTGAGAGGTCTGGTCCTGGGCCTTGATGAGTCGCTTCATTTCCTCTTGGGTGAAAGGGGGACCGGCAGAGGCGCAGCCCCACAGTACATGTTCGAAGTCCGCATAACCACCACACAGGGGGCAGTCCGGGCTTGGAAACCGTTCAGGGTACATTTTGTGCAGTGCCGCAGGACTCGGGTAAGTGTTTGTTTGTAGCAGTCGGAGAGTAACAGCTTGGGCCCTGCATAGCGAGGAGTGTGGTAGAGGCAGCAGTCTTCTTGACAGATAGTGGTGCTTGCATATCTCGTTGTACGAGCAGAGAGGCTCAGGTCGCCCAGGAGATGACGCGTTACCCGGCACACGGTCAGTCAAACCTCGTGCAGCCGAGTGCGCCTCCTCGTTGGGATTGAGCGAGGCACCCTCAATGGTTCCAAGATGCGCAGGAAACCAGACCAATGAGTGATTTTTGAGGTCTTTGACTTTTTGAATAATCTGTAGGACCTGGGGAGCCACCATGCCCATCTGGAAGGCCTTGATAGCGGCCTTGGAGTCTGAATAAATTGTGTCATGTACACCGTCCGTCAATGCAAGAGCAATGGCAACCTGCTCTGCAACGCTGGAACTAGAAGTGCGGATGGTAGCGCAGCTGATGACTCTGCAATCACAGACGACGACCACTGAGGAGAAGGCTTCTTCTTGAATGTACGAAGCAGCATCGACGAAGCAGGCTTGATCCTTGTCCAAGCGGGCACTGGCGAGCAGAGATTTACCCCTGGCTCGTCTTCGTGCTTCGTTGTAGGTTGGATGCATATTGCGCGGCATCCGCGCAATCTGGATCTTGGATCTTACGTCGCTGGGCAGCTTCACAGCGTCAGGACCGACAACCGTGGGGTTTCGTCCCAGCATGCCGAGTATGGCTCTACCCGCTGGGGTGCCAGACAGTCTGACAAACTGTGCAAACTCTTGGGCTTCGACAATTTCTTCGAACGTGTTGTGGATTCCCAACTTCAGGAGGTCTTCCGTGTGCGTTCGAACGGGAATGCCAAGGGCCAGCTTGAAGACTCTTCTGATTAGGGCATTGATTTTGTTGCGCTCCGACACGAGCCAGTTGTGCATAGCCGCCGTATAAGCGAGGTGGCATAGCACGAATGCGTGGATAATCCGGATCAGATTGTCCTCCCTGATTCCGCGGTGCCTGTTAGCGATTCTTCGAATCAGTCCGAGGGCGCTTTCGGTCTTGGAACAAATGCGTTTGACGGCGGCTCCATTGGCTCCGTTAGACTCGATAAACATTCCAAGGACCCTGATAGTGTCCACCCGCGGGACTGGGGAGCCGTTACCGGTGAATAACGTAATGTGGCTCTCCATTGCTGGCTTCCAGGACCGGTGAGAACCGCCTCTGGGCCTCTTCTTATACAGTAAGAGCTCGGACTTAGCGGGCGAGCACCTTAGCCCGGTGGGGATGAGATAGCGCTCCGTCACATCGATGGCCTCTTGCAAAGCACTCTCGACCTGACCCTCACATCCGCTGAGGCACCAGATGGTGATGTCGTCTGCGTAGATCGTGTGGTTAATGTTCGGGATTTTGTTCAAGGCCCTCGACAGGTTGATCATGCAGATATTGAACAGCGTCGGGGAGATCACCGCCCCCTGAGGTGTCCCTTTTGGCCCAAGGGTAATTTCGTGGGTCAAAAAATCGTCAATCTTCAGTCTTGTGGACCGCGACGAAAGGAAGGAGCGCACAAAATTGTACGCCCGCTTGCCGACGTGAAACTCAGACAAGCTCTTGAGAATAAAGGCGTGCGATATGTTGTCAAAAGCCTTTTCCAAATCCAATCCAAGAATCGCCTTGGTGTCGGCGGAGCCGGAGTCAATGACCTGGTGCTTGATCAGCTTCATGGCGTCCTGAGGTCGAGAGCCCCGACCGAAAGCCAATCATGTTGTGGGTATAGCATTCGTTAGACTCGAGGTGGTCAGTGAGGCGGTTGAGCATGGCGTGCTCGGCCACCTTCCCGACGCACGACGTCAACGAGATTGGCCTAAGATTCTCGATGCTCGGTGCCTTACCCGGCTTGGGTATCAGTACTGTGCAGGCCGCTTTCCAGCTCTTGGGAATGAGACCGCTGCGCCAGATTTCGTTGATCTTGTCTGTAAGAAACTCGATCGAGTCAAAGAAAAAAAAAACAAAGTAAGCAATTAGCATGATGAAATGGTGCGTATTTTAGGAGGCAAATTAGCCCCCTCGTGATTGTGTATCTTAAACGAGCATCTTTAACGACTTCGCTCAGTCATGCGTGTTCTTGTAAAATGGCATACGACTGTTACGACCATGCTACGTGTAATACCAGAGTTAGCTTTAGTTACTGCTTTCGAAATGACCTGATTCTCCTTAACCTTGGTATGACAACAGTGCTCTTTGAAATGAAGACATGATCGCGGTCTCATTGTCTGTCAGCAAAGACATATTATGAGTTCTGATTTGATTTATTTTAGTGTTACCCGGTGGCAGTGGGCTAGTGGCTAAGGTACTCGGCTGCTGACCAGCCGATGACGGGATCGAATTCGCCTGCGGCGGCTGCGTTTTCGATGAAGGCTAAAATGCTCTAGGCCCGTACGCTCATATTTGTGTGCTCGTTAAAGAACCCCAGATGGTCGAAAGTCTCGGAGCTCTCCCCTTTTTCGTCTCTCATAATCATAAGGTAGTTTTTGGACGTTAAACCCAACCGAACAAACAATAAATTGAGTGGTTTCAAAGATAAACAAGTAGTTATCTCCAACAGTTGCCATCCGTCTACTCTCAATAAACACGTGTTATGTATGCATAGTGTTCGTCCATACCCTCAAGATGAACAGGTACCAAGGAGCTTAATATTCCTACGTCCTGAAATTATGAATTCAATTCTGACATTGATTTCTTTATATTTTAGACACAAGTACAACTGACGTGTCGTGAAAAATGCGATCTTGCGCAACGGATAACTGTAGATGGCTGTTGCTCGATATTCAAAAGATGCACTGCAGCCCCGCTGCAGAGGTCTAGTGGCTAAGGTACTCGGCTGCTGATCCGCAGGTCGCGGGATCGAATCTTCGGCGGCTGCATTTCCGATGGAGGCGGGAATGTTGTAGGCCCGTGTGCTCATATTTGGGCGCACGTTAAAGAACTCCAGGTGGTCGAAATTTTTGGAGCCCTCCATTACGTTGTCTCTCATAATCATATGGTGGTTTTGGGACGCTAAACCCCACATATCAATCATCAATGAATCAGATGCACTGCAGCATTTCTTAACCTGGTCTTGTTGGCTAAATTATGAAGATATCGTCACATCGTGGTGATGAAAAGTTGTGAAAGCAGCCAATCAAAAAACACTGTTCATTTCTATATTCTAACTTGATACCGTTAAATATGTCGTTTCCCGCAAATTCCGGCGTCGGCGTCGTGGGTTGTGAGCGAAAAATTATTATAATCTGCGTGAATGAAAAATGGAGGAAGGTGCAAATAAATGATTCTGCGCTAGAGTGGGAATCGAACCAAAAATATTTTCGTCGTAAGTGGGTGTTTTAACACAGAGCCACATGTTTGTCGGTGAATACAGCGAAAATAAATTTCTCTGCTTGAAAACGCTGTGAAAGTTACCCTCATGCTTTACAAACAGACGCGTCCTGTACGCATGTATGACCATACCACATGAAGTATTGCAGAAGTAATGCGTGGTACAAGCGTACATTGCCACTTGCGATTATCGTAATGACTTCATTGCTTAAAGACGATCTTCCATCACAAAAGGCACACACGTTACTGAGCCTGTTTCTTTAAGGGCACGTAGTGGGTGCATAGCAAGTTCAAAAAGACTTCATGCACCAAGTGTTTGAAGTACACACTAGGGACAGGATATTGCTATCACGTCTAGCTCTCAAAGGGGAAGCTTAAGGATCTCCATTTTTTTAATACTTAGCATGTGCCGTTCAAAGTCCTTCGAATGCAAAACCTCACAGTACTCGGCATGAACGTTACACGACTCGACTTCGACCACGTCAGGCCATACAAGCTGCTTCCTTCTAAACAATGAATAGGAGAAAAGAAAGCGATGGCGTTTACCTTCCAGCGGATGCGAGCATTTACGTATCGTCACACTGCTGCGTCTAGTCTAACCAAACCTGTTTTTTAAGTGCATTGTTTTCGCTGTAGAATATTTTGCACGTGCGTTTTGATTCGCTTGAATGTTACTGATGTTATGAGCGTAGCTTTTGATTCGTCAGCAATGTAAATAACTGAATGTCAGATCTCTTTTCAGCACATTTTTATAACGACAACGATTGCAATAGAAACGTCAAGCATAGCGCCAGAAGCGATAAGAGCGCCGTTTTTTTGTTTTCGTTTACATGGTTGCCTTTTGATAGAGTGAATAACCTCATGCCGGCATTACACAATAAATCATAATGCTCATGAAACCAAATTCGAAACGCATCATAAGCGTGGCACACAGAATGTGCAGTTACATGAGGCGGTGACCACATTGTGTTACGGCGGCTCGGCCACTGAAAGTGACGTTGCCACCATCATAAGTGTGCCATCGAATATTTCGTTGGCTCGAGCTGGACGTAGTGGCATGGCTGGTGGTGGAAACGGAAGCATGTGTAGTAATCTTCAATGGACGCATATCATTCTTTGCGCACTGTACGTACATTTTCTTGAGGCATTTTGGCCAAAACTAACGTCTGGAAACTGATATATGAAGATATCTGGTCACAATTTAAAATAATATTTATCTTCAAGATATTCTGAATATTTGGATACCTTCAGAGATTTTATACGGAAGGAAGCAGGACAAGGCGGGTTGAACAACAATGCAGATTTTACGTAAAATAATTTATCCCTCATTAATACGATTATAATGAGCAGCACACCAGCAGCATCTGTGAGGTTGGAATTCAGAAAAACCATGGATGGGGGCTCGATGTTTTTTTTTTTTTGTACGAAGTGCGCAACTGCAATTCGAACACTCTGTTCTTCGGTAGTTTGGTTGAAAGTACATATGTGGACACTATAACAATTAGCTAAATTTTCTTCAGTTGCAGAACTAAATTTATCTGATAAAATAAGGAATACTAAATCTAGTCCAAATCACTCCATCCGAGGGAGCCATGCTGTAATTACCTTTCTAACACAATGTTCAGTAGCGAAATTATTTGACGTAATACTTTTTATACAAATATTGCAACGCCATTCCTTTTTATCAGAACACATAGTTCTACCCACAGCAGTCGCCTTCGAGCTTCGAACATGCAATGCAGCACTTTGTCCAGGTGTTAACCAGCTTGCACCGTTCGCTACTGTCGCAATCGCCATTGTTCATTTCGCGCACCTGCCAATGTTCAGAAAGCAGCATCGCCGCATGAAAGTGAGTCTACAGATACGATTGGCATACAGAATAAACACAACAAGCAGGGCTGGTCGATTCGTCGCAATTGCCAAAAGGGACCAATGTGAACCCTTGTTCCCGCAGGGCGTGGGTTCGAATCCCGGCTGTGGCGGCTGCATTTCCGATGGAGGTGGAAATGTTGTAGTCCCGTGTGCTCAGATTTGGGTGCACGTGGAAGAACCCCAGGTGGTCTATATTTCCGGAGCCCTCCACTACGGCGTCTCTCATAATCATATAGTGGTTTTGGGACGTTAAACCCCACATATCAATGATCAATCAATCAATCAATCAACCCTTGTTCCACAAAAGAATGGGGTTGTTCGAAAGCACAAAGCAATGAAGCCGAGGTTTATAGCGGAGGCTTATCGCATGCTTACAGATTTTGTACCGAGTGTTAGCCAGACTTCTGTCATATTACATCGACAAGAGAGACTTTCTTAATGTCTTGTTTTTATCAGTTACTTGTGTAATTACCACGCACCACATGATCACCTGTATATTACCACTGTGCTCGCAAGAAAGTTCCAATTGAGAATGAGGGTTCGTTTCGTCGAATGCTTTGTCTCTCGTCTATTCAGTGCTTTATGTCAACGGAGTTAGGTTTTAACATCGCTTCCCAGAATATATTTCTTACAAAAACATTTGCCACTGGCTGAACATGCAACATTGTAAATTTACGATAGAGGACACCTTGTTTTATGGTTAAAAATTCCTCCATGATGTCACTTGAACGGGTTTAACTGCGTTTTCTTAGTCAGCACAAGCATTTCATTCGAAACTCACAGTGCTTCCTCATCGTCATACTAAAGTTTTTCGTATCAACCCTTGTTGGAGAAAAGAACAAACTGAAGTACACGCAATAAATTAGAAAGCGAAGGCGAGAACTGCGGCAGGGATGACCGACAGAAATACGTGCATGTGAAACAATCATATATATATATATATATATATATATATATATATATATATATATATATATATATATATATATATAAGTCACCAGATGAAGCGAACGAGCAAACAAAAACGATGCTTTATTGCCAAATTGGCAATAAAGCATGGTTTTTCGTTTGCTCGTTCGCTTCATCTGGTGACTTATAACTCGACCCGAATCCAAGAAGACTTTCAAGAAATATATATATATATATATATATATATATATATATATATATATATATATATATATATATATATATTACTACGCCCAGCAGAACCAGAAATAGTACAGAAACAATTTCTGTTCACCCTTGAAATCGACCCATGAGTCAACTCATCAGGACGAAAAACCCTTGCGGTGCTGGGAGAACAAATATGCCACCATTGGCGTGGGCAGCGTACCCATCAGAAGCGCCAAGGCTGCTCGCAGCAACCCCCTTTTTACTACGGCTGATTTGGGGGTAGAAGTCGCGAGAGATTCAGGATTCTATGCATGAACGGCAGTTAAAATGTCTAAGCCGCACACAGTACTGGTATCTTGATAACGGAGATATGTTCATTTTTGAAAGAGCACGGGATGTCCTCTAGGTCACTGCCACACAATGAAAACGTCTCGACGTGAAATAAGGGCAGCGCTTCAAGAAGCGCGCAACAGCACCCCACCTCCTTGCTTTGAAAAGTTACTCTCATCACGGCTCGCCTGTGTCGTCTGTCTTGTGCTCCTTCTCTCTGCTTCCCCCTCGCATCGTTAACGCTTCTATATAGAGCGAGACGCACGTATACGTACGTAAGGGCCAGAGCGCGTATACTGTACCCGTCGCGTGCGGCGTCCCTCGAGTGTGTTTGCCAAGCTGCATCGCATCAGCGGGCCGCACATCACTTGGCCCGTAACATCCACTCTCCGCCCTTATTCTCGCATGGACGTCGCACGTGGCGTAGACGGCCTCCAGACGCCGACTAGTCTCCGGAATACCGACAGGGTAATAGAAAAGGTAACCAGGTGGCGACTTTGGTCAGGTGGTACATGCTAACGGCAGAAATTGTATTGGTAATATAGCAGCTCCATAACGTCGTGCCGTCGTCATCTATGAGTTTATACGGTGAACGTGCAACCATTAATAGTAAAATGCGTGGTCTATGTGCAATAGTCACACTCGAGTGAAAAGTCCTGTTTCTCTACTAAGTATACTCATCATTCATAGTCGCCGCCTTTTATCTAGCTGCTCTAACGTCCTGCTAAGGCGATTTGAATTAGAAAGCTCTATTTAAGGTAGCATAGTAAGTAATATGGTCAGATGTACTAGATAAAAGGCGTGCTTTTGTTTGTTTCAAGTGCTTAAAAAACGCTGAATCGTTTCTTTTCAGGGGGAATCATGGGTCTCAACTCCAAGCTGGTGTTCTCAGCTCTCGTGACGCTTTTTCTCCTTGGCGTGAATGAGGCATCGTTGGAAGAGACATCCAAAGAAGACTTACCGGGTAAGCAGCCACTTGCAATGAAACTTTGCTTGTTAGCAGTATCTTTACCAAAGTTTGTTGACCTTCATACCGATTCTTAGACATTTCTTAATCAGTGCTTGCATAAAGTGCAGCGAATTTCTCACAAGGAACATATAGTTAAATGCGTCCGTTGAACAGTCAATCGCCAGTATTGGTGCCTGAGGCATATTTTCATTTTTGTTTTACCAAACTGAGATTAAAATGTCTGGGTCAAAACATTTTCGCTGTGATCTTTGTGTCTAAAAGGGAAGGATTGGAGAATTAAGGGTAGCAGTACTTTCGTTTTAGTACTGTACGAAACAAAATAAGTGAGTGAAAACAGCTATCCCAGTAAAAACAGTGGAAGGACCATTGTTCAGGTTAGTCACTTCGGAAAATTTTTATAATGAGAATTGCGGTCCTTGTGATTGAATACCTTACAGAGTCACCTGGTAATACGCCCATCGATGCACTAATACCATAACCCTAAACTCCTCCCTGTAATGGTAACTACTGGTTGGAATAAAGAACCCACAGCTATATGCGCGAATCATGGAGGTTTATATTGTTCTTCAATTGCGTCCCTTCAGGAAGCCGCGCATATTTAAGGTTCATCACTATTTTTAGTACATGTACTTGGTCCGAATCACCGGGAAAAAAATCGGATAAGGTAGATAGAACATCGATAACAATTGTCGCTGGAGCCATCTTTCACGCAAAGAAAGTTTTCACAGGATTTTTCAATATGTCAATCCATAGAAAAATTTCGAATTACTTGATTCTATTCTAAAACGTGTGGCCGCTTCTTGAGATTGTGTCGACAGTTCGACATGCATTGTTTCTCATGGGACAGCTCATCTGTGATGACTAAGTCCTTGATGTACAACGTGTATTTTTGGGCTAGCTCATTGTACTATCATATCTTCATTATGGTGGAAAAAAAGGCCCACCTTGCTCTCGCTTTTAACCATAATCTTCAAGTGGGACGACAGTGTTACTTCTAAGAATATATGAACACGATCGTAGTTCCATTGGTTTTGTTTGATCATAAACTATTTTTCTAAAATATAAGTGCCTACATTTGCCACGAGGAAAAAGTGATCGGCTGAAGAAAGTGTTGAGAGTCGCGGTGTAAGCATCCTGGTATTTCACAGGATAGCCAAGTTCCACTCGGCCTCCTTAACCCATTACAAAGAAAGAGAGAATAAAACATTTATTTGCGACCAAGGTAAGGAGTGTCGGTGAGTGGGCTCCTTAGTCCGAGATCCCATTGGCGCGGGCTGCTGTCCTCGCTCATCTCACGAGGGCCTCTTGGGTATTCGGATCCGAGCTGGACAGAGCTGCCTCCCAACCTACAATGTTGTGCTTCGCTCTGGGTTGTAGAGGTGGATTGTGTGGGCATTCCCATACCATGTTGTACAGGGTGGCTGTTTCAGTGACGCAGAACCTACACTGTGGTGCGTTTGTGTCGGGATTTATCTTGGACAGTATGAATGGATTGAGGTGAGACAAGGTCTGCAGGCGATGTCACGTTACCTGAGATTCTTTACTGAGCTTTAGCTTCGGGGGCGGAAGTTTCCGCCTTTCGAGTCTTTGATGTTCTAGAATGTCTGTGTACGTTAGGAACGGGTCCATACGCATAGCCGAGGGTGGGTGCGATATGCCGGGGTCGGAGGTCCCGAAGAGTAATTTCGGGCCGAGGCATGGGCGAGGTCATTGCCTCTGACTCCGCAGTGGCCGGGTATCCATATCGGCTGTTTGCATTCACCCTCTGAGCGTGAGGACGAGAGTTGTGTAAGAAGTCGATGCGCAATGGAGCCAATGTAGCCTTTACGAAAATTTCGGTAGGCTGCTTTTTAATCTGTTAAAACGAAAGTGCACCTTGGGTATCGTAGGGCGAGGGCGATTCCTGCTTCTTCCCTACTAGTGGTGTCTGTGTCCTGGGCTGACATACAATCAACCTGTTTTCCACAATGAATGACGCTTGCTGTATATTTGCTGTTCACTGGTCCAGCGGCATCGACAAAGAAGGCGTCCTCAGTATCTGAGTAGTTGTCGTGAACTTTTGCCCGAGCCCGACGGCGATGTTCGTTGAACTGAGGTTGCATGTTGCGTGGAAGTGGTTTGATGATGAAGTCCTGCCTCCATTCATGTGGAATACGCTGTTTTCCTATCTCTCAATGGAGGCTCCGATGCCAAGTTCTGATAGTGTTTTCCGTCCCGTTTTAGTGACGGCGAAGCGCGTGACTTGATTTGTGTGGTGAGCATGGAATAGTTCTGATACAATATTGTGGAGCCCCATTTCAAGCAGACGTTCCGTGAGGGTCCACGGGGGAAGGTTCAGATCCTTCATAGGAGTCACACGTATGACTCTGTCTATTTTGTGCTCATTTGTTTTCAAGGCCCTCAGGTAAGAAAAGCTATAGGTTATGCGGCTGATAACAAATGCCTGAATGAGTCGCATTATGTCGTGTTCTTTCATCCCTCGTCATCAGTTAGTCACCCGACTAATCACGCGAGAGATTTGTAGGCAGGAAGTTTTTAGTTTATGTAAAGCAAATGAGTTGTTGCCCCAAATATTTAAGTGGGGCCCCAGAACTCGGAGGGTTTCAACCTCTTTCACTTGCGTTCCATTGAGTTATACGTTGAGGGATGTATTGTCAGATCCTTTATTTCTATATACTAGGATTTCTGTTTTGATGGGGGAGCCCTCCAGACCACTCTTGCACCCATATTTTCTACGGATGGAGGAGGCCTGTTGGAAGGCTTCTTCTATCTGAGCCAGGTTACCAGACCGGCTCCAGCTTGTGACGTCATCAGCGTATATGGCAAGGCGGACTTGCGAAATTTCATTTAGGGCCTCCGGGAGGCGCATGAGGGCAATATTGAAGAGGAGCGGATAAAGGACAGCCCCTTGGGGAGTACCGAAATCACGCATGGTGATGGGTTGAGATTTGAAGTCCCCTATGAGGATAGTAACTTGCCTGTCTGTAACGAAGTCCCGCACATATGCATATAATTTTGTACCGCACCTGAGTTCCCTGTAAGTTTTCTAAGATAGTGAAGTGCCGAACATTGTAAATAAAGGCACCCTTGAAATCAATTGCAAGAATGGCCCATTACTCTTGAGTAGTACCGCTGGGTAGGTTGACAATCACGTGTTTTAGTCGGAGGAGGATTTCCTGCGCTGACAAATGGGGACGAAAGCCGTACATAGTGTCAGGCAAGAGGTTCTTTTTTTCTGCATATTCGTTTAGCCTTATTTGTATGGCCTTCTCCATCACCTTACCAGCGCATGACGTGAGGAATATGGAACGGAGGTTATCAATATCAAGCGCTTTGCCAGCTTTCGGAATGAAAATGAGGTCGGCTGATTTCCACTCTAGGGGTAGCGTTCCAGGCGTCCCAGTACTGGTTAATTTTATCTACTAGCAACTGAGTCATGTCATTGCTTAGGTTAGAGAGCAGCCCTATCGATAACTGATCGGGTTCTGAATACCTTTCCTCATGTTTTGTATTGCCGCTTTAATTTTCACGACCGTAAACGCTTTTCAAAGTTCTGGATTATCGGGGCCGTAATAAAGGGGTATGGATGCGCGGCTCCGCGCAGTGTTGAAATACTTCGACTGTAGGGCACCGAGTAAGTTCGCATTGCTGCCAGGGAAGCTGTTTATATCCCTCTGAAGGCTTCTTCTGTTCACGCCTATGGTAGAGTCTGGGACAATTAGGTGACGCAGAAGGTGCCAGGCAGATTTCGTATGAAGAGACCCAGTAAAAGGGTCGCATTTCGAGAACCAATTTTCTTTAGCGAGCGCTATCGCGTATTTCTCTGCCTTAGCAGTGAGGGCAGCAATAGGCGTCTTGAGTCGGCGATTAAGCCTTTGTTGTTTCCAGCGCCTGTTGAGTTGGCGCCTGGCATCCCATAAATGCAAAAGATGGCTATCGACTGCTGGAGCTTCAAGTGTAAGTTCAACAATTTTTGGTAACCTCGTTCTTAAGTTCTAGTAAGGTGCCGGCCCATGTCGAGTAAAATGTGGGCGTTTGATGAAAGGGAACGTTTTATGTTTTGCGGAAAGCTGCCGAATCTATTAGCTTGACTGTCTTTTGATGTTTTTGTGTCTGCTATACAATGAAGACGTGGGAATGATCAAATGGTTGCTCCCGAAGTTCTCTTGTGACTTCCACCAGCGTGGCTGAGGAAGGTTGATACCCTTTGTTAGATCGGGGCACGTATCCCTCGAAACACTGTTACCCGTGCGAGTCGGATAGGCTGGTTCGGTGAGGAGAATAATATCCTCGAGAACCATGAGGTCGTACAATTTTCGTCCTTTGGTGTCCCCTTCCGGATGACCCCAGGAGGCGTGTTGGGCGTTGAAGTGGCCTAATATAAGCAGCGGAGCATTTATAGCTTCTTTCCGGGCTTGCGGATGACCTCGAGGAGGGTTTGCGTATGATACTTCGGTCGACTGTATATGTTAAGCACGTATATATGTTAAGCACGTATATAATCGACGTAGCGCGTAAACGCGCTACGTCGATTAGGTATACAGGCTGCTGAGAGCGCTTGATAGGCAAAAGGCGAGTGAAGACGTACTCAAGCTGCGTATCACGTGGGTCCAGATCTACCGTGACCGCAGTGCAGGTGTTGTGAACTAAATTGCAGACCGGTGTGTTGTGTTTGTTGGCATGTATTGTGTACGACGAAAATCTGATATCGGGGTAGCCAGCCGGTCTGAGAACTGGCTAACCTCCCTGTCCTTCCTCATTTATTCCTCCTCCTTCTGATATCGGGGACTATAGTATCCTATAGCGCTATGATTTTGGGTTCGTGATTGAACGTGCCTATGTATTGTTGCAGCAATGCCGCCTTACGACGAAAGCTTCTGCAGTTCCACTGTATTATGTTTAGGCTTTGAGGGAGCTGCGCCATTATGGGTTCGAGGATGTTTTCTCCAAATCCCCGGTTTATGCACTGTCGCGGAGATATCATGGCGCCCCTT